ATTGCATGATAAAGGGCATGGGCTCTTCCATATTGATATATAATCCATTCTGCTTTAGCAAAATCATCCCTAGCAATAATAGAAAATCGCCTGCAACATACGGCAAAATTTTTTGGTGAACTTACATATCTAAAAATAGATATTAATATTTCATTTGCAAGATTCAGAATGCCAATAGCATTTAAGGGGCAGTTTTCGCTTAAAAGCTTTTCGTTTAAAAGCTTCTCGATTGAAAGCTTTGTTTCTGAATCAGACATAGCGAGAGTTCCCACCAACAATAATTTATTTATTTATCGCCAAATGATTTACTAACATAGTATGATTGGCGCATTAAGATTTTTGATCATTTTTTTTGAAAAAATTTACTTAGTAATTTTATTATAAAATCGGTGCATTCGTTCTAATAAAAAAATTAAATTCTGTAATTTGTAAATTATATGTTGATAGCATAGCTTTAAATATATGTGGGGATATTTTCTAATTTATTATATTAATTTATCTAAAATTATAAATAAATAAATTTTCATAGTAAAATATTCGTTATTTGTATGTTTAAACAACAGAGATCTCTAAAATTCACATATTAATATAAAATATGGCCAAATAAGTTTAAATTATGCTATTTTATTATCATTTGCAAGTTGTAGAATTAATTTGCTTCGACTAAAACGGGAATTAGAACATTTAAAAGTCGAATTTTCTTATGCTCTATAACGATTTCCAAAACCATGTGCCAAACGCTGAGCATTATGCTTCGTAATATGTGTGCGCCAAGTCTTATTTAAAGTTAAATAATTGATTTTTTAATAAAGTTTTTAATATAATTGCAATAATTTTTTAATAAAGAATAACGATAAATGATTAGTTATAATGTCTATCCGGAGCAGGGATTGGAACCGTTTAACCGCATAAAAATTGTTACATAATTTCGGGCCGAATTATATTGATTATGGGCCAAGGTTATCTTAATTTTAGCCGAGTTAAACAGTTAATACGATTAAACGGTTAAACGATTAAAGAAATTCTAGGCGGTTCCAATCCCTAATCCTGAGATTGTTAAATTTTCCATTATAAAATCGATTTTATTTCGCATGTAACACACCAATTGTACATGGAAAAACAATTCCGGTTTATCCCCGTGATAATAAATTTTAACACATGTACGTATATAAAATTAATACTTTTAAATTTGCTGCTTCATGTCAGTATGTATGGTGATTTGTTTAATATAGATCTTATTTGGTTACAAAAAAAATACAAAGAATAATTGTCTCTTAACCTTTATAGTTATTGTAAAAAACGCCAAAATCTAAATAGATACACTGAATGTATTGATACAGCCTCAACTTCGCCAATTCATTAAATAATATATTGTAATATATCTTCAGTATAAAAAAAGTTTCGAACATAATATATAAACTATAATATTACACATTTTATATACTACACTTATCGGAGTAACCATAAAGATATTTATACATCTTTCATTTTCGAGTACATGTTCACTTATCGATATTCCAATACTGTATATTGTTTTATATAATTTCTAAATTCATTCAGGAGTATCGATATAAAAAGAATATTACATAATCGTCAAATCAAGAGTCAATCATATTAAATTATTATCATTCTATGCGAAATAGTCTTCGAATATAACTTTTTTTTTGCGCACTATTTTCTAATCTTTTAATGAAATAAGGTTTATTCGAATAGTAACAAGTTATTCTATTAGTAATGTGCCGCTGTAGTCGAGATCCCGAATATTCTTGTAATCCACACTATCGTAGAAATCCCAAAGATAATTGTGATAGTAAAGTTTCCTATTAATCTTAAAAAATAAAATATCGATATTATCCTTTTTATCTTTAGTATTTCCATTATTTGTATTATCTTCGTTATTTTTGATATCTGTATATATTTAAGAATATTTATATAAGTGCTGTGAATTTACCACAATAAAAATAACTCTTGGAGTTCAAAACCTCGAAAATAATAAAAGTAGAAGTATCCTAGAATAAATACCCTTTTGCCTAAATCGTCTTGTTTGAATCGTTATTCTTTTTGTCTTGTTCCCGTGATAGTTTCTTGTTATAACCAGTTTTTAGTAGTAAGAGTAAAAGTGTCTAAATTAGTAAATCGCCTTTTCTTTTGATCGACCAATTGAATCGTGCCCTCGTGATAACGTGACCACAAGAATAGTGCCCTCGTGATAACGTGACCACAAGAATAGTGCCCTTGTGATAGCGTGACCACAAGAATAGTGCCCTCGTGATAACGTGACCACAAGAATAGTGCCCTCGTGATAACGTGACCACAAGAATATTCGAAAGTTAAGAAGGCCAATATCTACTCAACGAACCCAAATATCCAACCATAAGTTTCATAAACTCACCCAAGTAACCCTAAACTCTTTCAAGCCTACC